CTCCTCCTCCTCCTCCTCTCCTCCTCCTCTTGCTCCTCCTGCTCCTCCGCCTCCTCCTCCTCCTCCTGCTGCTCCTCCTCCTCCTCCTCCTCCTCCTCCTCCTCCTCCTCCTCGTCCTCCTCCTACTCCTCCTCCTCCTGCTCCTCCTCCTCCTTCTCCTCCTCCCATTCTTCTTTTCCTCATGAATAATTCCTCCCTGTCGCACCCCGAGGCCAATCGGAAAGACGAGCCGGGCGTTTCGCCTGAGAAGTTCTTACCATTGATGAGCCGGAAGCTCAAAAGCTGATAAGAGCTTCACATATGGAGAGCGGGTCGACTTCAATTGTGGCTCTCGCTTCAGCGCCGCGCACACTCGTCTTAAGAACTTGCATGAGCTTCACGGATTGAGGACATGTCGTTGAAAAGATGCGGCTCTCGCCTTAGCGCCGCGCACGTTCGTTCTAAACATTTACAAGAGCTTCACGGCTTGAGGACAGGTTGTTTTCAAACTGTCGCTCTCGACTTAGCACCGCGCACATTCTTTTCAAACACATTGCATGCGCTTCACGGATTGAAGACAAGTCGTTTTCAACATGTGGCCCCCGCCTCAGTTCTGCACACATTCGATTAACAAAATTGCAAGCGCCTCACGGATTGAGTGAGGGCGGTTCGTTTTCAAAATATGGCTCCCGCCTTAGCGCCACGCACACTCGGTGCAACATCTTATAAGACTTTCGCTGATTCTCATGGTCAACATTCCAGAAACTGTGTTCTGCAGCGGCTTAAGATTGACAGGGCGCAACGGTTACGTTGACTCGCGGCGATGAAGTGTCAGGAAAAAACGATCTGGCACGATTCAGGACAGTCAAAACGCAACAGTCAAGTTGATTTGTGGCGTTGAAGTCCTGAGAATGCTGTTTCGGCACGCGTCAACATTGTCACAAGGTTGCCCCCCAGCTCCGCATTTCCCGCAGTGGAAATGAACACTTGTATGGGGCCTATGAAGAGGGAGTTTGGAAGGATGGTGTATGCCAACATCGTTGATGAGTCTTGGGTTTGAACTGGTCCTCCTACTCCAACTCATCATCATCATCATCATCATCATCATCATCATCATCATCATCATCATCATCACTATCATCATCAGCATCATCATCACCACCACTACCACCATCATCATAATCCTCATCCTTATCATCATCATCATTATCAACACCCTCATCATCACCCTCATCATCATCCTCGTCATCCTCGCCATCCTCGTTGTCACCATCACCATTGTCACCACCACCACCACCAGCAACATTCGTTACCTTCGTCCTCCTCATCCTTCTCCACCTGCTCCTGCTGTTCCCCAGTATCTCTTTCTCGATGTTCAGACGACTGTCTTTTATTGGGGCACTTCCAGCAATGAAGGACAAAGCTGGCAGGGATCTATGAAGACGGACCTTGGAAGAAGGCGTTTTTGCAACATCGTTGATTCGTCTTGGGTTTACACTGGCCCTCCTTATTCTTCTCCTCCTCCTCCTTCTCCTCCCTCTTCTCCTCCTCCTCCTCCACCCCTGTCCCTTAGCAAACAAAAGATAAAACAACTTCCCTGCCGCACCCCTAGACGTGTTGGTAGAGCGGGCTGGGCGTTTCGCCTGAGACTTCGCCACCATGTATAATTCTGATCCTGAAGCTTGAGCTTTGCAACAGCTTCTCGGATGACGGGCGTGTCGATTTCAAGATGTACCTGTCGCCTCCGCGCTGCTCACATTCGTCTTAAAGGTGTGCAGCATGTTCAAGGATGGAGAACGGGTCGAGTTCAATGTTTGCTGATTTTCTTAGCGTCGCGCAAACGTTTGCGCCAGCTTCAAGGATAGAGGGCTTCTTTTCAGAATGTGAATGTGGTTCTGGCTTTAGCGTCGCGCGCACTCAGTTGAGTACTCTGCAGAAGATTCAAGGACTCGTATGGTTGAATTCCCAAGAACGGTGTTCTGGCACTACTTAGGAATGTCAGGACGCAGCCGTATCGTTGATTCGCTGTGTTTGAATATCGGGAATGGCGCTCTGGTGCGATTTAATTCGATTGAGGATTCGCGGCGTTGAAGGCCAGGAATGACGTCTTGGCAAGATTCGAAATTCACAACTTGTTGTCTTTCCATTGAACACTTCCCGCAATGGGGGAAAATTATTGCAGGAGCCTATGAAGAGGGAACTTGGGAGGGAGGGTGTATTCCAACATCGTTGATGCGCCTTGGGCTAACACTGGTCCTCCTCCTCATCCTCCTCATCCTCCTCATCCTCCTCATCCTCCTCCTTCTCCTCATTGCCTCCTGCTGCTCTTCCTCCTCCGCCTCCTTCTGTCATCCTCCACCTCCTCCTCCTCCTCCCTTCTCCTGCCTCCTCCTCCTCTTCTTCCTCCTCCTCCTCCTCCTCCTACTCAACGTTTTCCTGCTCGTCTCCTGCTGCGCCTCCTCATTCTTCTCATCCTCCAACCGCCTCCGCTTCTTCACTTTGTTCCGCAGAGCAGGAGGATGAAGAGGCGGAGGTTCGAGAATCGATGAGCTGTTCACGGGCGCTTCTGGCTCTGTCTGGGCCTCCAGAGCCCCCGGGGCCTCGGCCTACAGGGGCCTCTCGAGACTTCCAGGTCACCTAAACATCGCGCTTCGCCGCGAGCCGCGCGGTCATGCCTCGCTGGCCTGGGGCATTGTCGTGTTCTTGCCCGCCAGGGCCTTTGATACATGTGCGCAGCTACTATGTGAATGCCACGCTTTCATGTGGCCTCGCTGTGTTCCTGCTCGCTTGATCGAGCCGTCCAACAAAAAAACCCTTGGAAAACGACTCCCTGGAACAAGACTCCCCGGGACAGGTTCGGCGCGATTTAAGGGGGGGCGATACAGACGGGCACCTTTCTTTGTTCCCCCCCTCCCCCCCACCTAGCCGATTGCGGAAACCCTGAACCCAAAGACGTTTCCATCTCTTGGGAGGTATTCGAGGCCTGGAAATTGGCACCAACACCAAAACAGGGGGTTGCCTCCACAGGGGGAAGATGATCTTAGATTTCGGTGTTGGTGGTAATAGTTCGGCCACCTTGGAAGCCAGAATATTGCCACCATCACCAGGACTGGGATCGTCTTCCTCTGGTGGAGTCACACCGCCGATATTGGTGTTGGTGTCAACCTCTAGGCCTGCGAAGGTAGACTTTTGCTTCCGCCGTCTTCCGCCAGCCTTCCGCAGGCTTCAGCCGGCGGAGGCGGCCTCGTTTCACTTCCGCCTCCCTCCGCCGCGGAAGAGATGGCACCTCCTCCGAGCCGCGAAGGCAAAGCCCTTTTTGGGAGCTCACCATACAGTCGGGGCGTTGACATAAGGAACCCGAAATAAGGAACGAGGCCCCTTTTTCCCATAAGTTCAACCTCGATTTCCCATGGATAACCTCGGGAAAACCCGAGGCACACTTTGAAACAATCAAGGAACACCGAGCCCCTCCCCAATGAAAAGAGTTCCTTCTTCAGCGCCCCGGCTGTATATCGCCCTCTCGCCCTCGCATGACGATGCAGGCTCGGAAGCCGGGCAAGGGCTGCTAAATCCGTGACTGCTAAAATCGACCTCCGGGAAGTTGTCTTCGTCCTTCCAGGAAGAAGCCCGTTGACTGTTTCGCGTGCCGCGCCTCATTCCGGAAGTTGTTTTTTTCCTTCCGGGAGGGCCGCTTTAGCAGCCACGGTTTTAGCATCCCTCGCCCAGCTCCTGACAGGCATTGGACAGGGAACCGTCGGATCAAGAAATCCGGGGTCTGGAAGCCGGTGGAACTCCAATCGTACACTGGTCACGGATGACACCGCCGCCCTCGTCAGACCCAGACCCCCGACGTCATGAATTTTTCATGACGTCGACCCCCAGCGGTCTGGACCCATTCCATGGGAACGGTTTTTCGTCCCGAGTCGTTCTTTGACGGTCCCGAGGGCCGGCAAGGACCCCCGAAGGCCAAGAATAATGAAAACCTCCCGTCGCGATTCTTTCATAACTCGAGGGGGTCTGGGGATAAGGAATCCTCCCGGGTCTGACACCGCCTCGGCGCCTTCCTCAAGCAGCGCCCCTTCTGCAGTACGCGCCCAGACCAGAGAGGCACACGGGGAGCCCAGAACTCCCACCTTCACCTTCCCTCTCCTCCCACAGTGACGCCCTCTCCTCCTCCTCCTCCTCCTCCTCCTCCTCCTCCTCCTCCTCCTCCTCCTCCTCCTCCTCCTCCTCCTGCTCCTCCTCCTGCTGCTGCTGCTGCTCCTCCTCCTCCTCCTGCTGCTGCTGCTGCTCCTCCTCCTCCTTCTCTTCCCCCTCCTCCTCCTCCTTCTCCTCCTCCTCATCATTATCATCACCATCACCATCACCATCACCATCACCATCACCATCACCATCACCATCACCATCATCATCATCATCATCATCATCATCATCATCATCATCATCATCATCATCATCATCATCCATCATCATCATCATCATCATCATCACCAGCATCATCATCATCATCACCATCACCATCAACATCAACATCGTCATCATCACCATCATCATCATCACCATCGGTAGCAACAGCAGCATCAGCATCAGCATCAGCATCATCAACATCAGTATCAGCAACATTATCATCAGCAGAAGCATCACTATCATCATCATCATCATCATCATCATCATCATCATCATCATCATCATCATCATCATCATCATCATCATCATCATCATCATCATCATCATCAGTATCATCGGCAGCATCCTCCTGCTCCTCCTCCTCCTGTTCCTCCTCCTCCTAATCCTCCTCCTCCTCCTCCTCATCATCATCATCATCATCATCATAATCTGCATCTTCATATTCATCTTCATCTTCGTCCCCATCTTCATCGTCGTCATCATCATCATCCGAGCAGGAGAAGACTGGAGAAGGAGGGGGCTGGAGGAGGAGGACAAAGAACGGAGGCTAAGAGGGGGGAAGAGGGGAGGGGGGAGGAGCGAGGGCAGGGAGCAGCTGCAGCAGCAGCTGCTCATGCCTCCCTGCGTCCTCCTGCTAAGGGCGGCCTCCTTTGCAGAGTGCCTCGGCGCTGCGCGCGTTTGGTCCCCCCGCGCTCTCTCTCCTCTGGCCGGCGCGCGCGGCGGCGTGGCCGCGGCCTCTCACTCGTTCTCCTCCGTGCGCAGCCTCGAGAACCTGTTCGTGACGAAGAGGCGGAGCTGGTCAGCGCGCTCCACGATCTCTTTTCTCTTTTTTGCGCCGATGTTGTGTGCTATCTCCACGGCGTACTTCTCGTTGTGCATGAGCAGCATCTCCAAGTCCGAGAGATTCTGCACCCGGAACTTGTAAAAGCCGTTCCTCAGGCGGTACTTCGTCTTCTTGTCGGAGCCGTAGCCGATGCTGGGCATCTGGGTGGATCCCTTGAACTTCCTGCGCACACGGCCGTCGATGCCGACTGGCTTGCGCCAGCTCTGGTTCATCTTCTTGAAGCGATCGGCCTGGAACCGCGGGAACCTCTTCATCCTTGGCATGAGGGAAATTGTCCCGGTGAACACGGGTCTCGGTACCCTGGGCGTTCCCGCGGGACCAAGTTTTCATTATGAATCCCACCCGCCCTTCAGGGCGTGAGTGGTTCAGGACGTTTCCTCTTCCAACCCCCTTTTTCCCCTTCCCCGGTTTCCCCCTTCCCCTCCCCTCCCCCTACTCCCTCCACCTGGGAGTGGAGGGGAGGGGCCGCGATGTGTCAGAGAGCCTTTTTTGGCCTCAGCGAGAAGGCAAAAATCAGCGATTCCTAAAAAACAGTGTTTACACTTGGGATTCTTACATGTCGTCTACGGAACTGGGCTTGTTTGTCGGGTCCGTCGCATTGTGCTGCTGTCGCCGCCTCGTCGCCGCACGTCGTCTGGACTCGTTTGTCAAATCCACTGCCTTGTTGTCGCTGTCGCCGCCCCGTCGCCGCCTCGTCGCCGCCCGTCGTCGCGGCTTGCTTGTCGGGTCCGCCGCCTTGTTGCCGCCGTCGCCGCCCCGTCGCCACCTCATCGCCGCCTGTCTTCTGGGCCTGGTGGCGGTCTGACGGCTGTGTTGCCGCCGTCGTCGCCCCATCGCCGCTTCGCTGCCGCCACATGGGTTGCACCACATATATTGCTCCACATATATTGCGCAACATACATCCTTTGTGATCGGAATATAAACTACTCTACCCCCCAGTTGATCAGTACCCTTTTGGGATGAGACTATGCACACTTGCTATTGCACCATCGCTCATGTTGCATCTGCACTATCGCATCTCATGGAGACCCCTTAGCGCCCCTCCCCCTCACCCCTGTCAAGTAGCACTATACGAGCACACTCATGCGTCAAATCCCACCAGCCCTGTGGGCGTGAGTGGTTTGGCACGTTTGCTCATATGTCTTCCCTTCTTCCCCTTTCGGGGAGGGGTTTTCACTGTTCCCTATTCGTATACACCCCCTCCCCCAGGCGACCACCGGCTAACCAGGAACCGTGGAAGCCATGCGCCCCCCACCACCACCACCACCACCACCACCACCATCCGTCAAAAAAACAATTCAAAACGCACTCTGCCTCCACATTTGGAGCATGCGCGGGCAACCCGATGCGCCCGCCCCCATCATCCCTGTCAAAAAATACAAAATACACTGTGGGGCAAAGTTTTGAGTCATGTTCGTGAGGCCCGCGAGCAAGTTGTATTGCTTTTGATAGGGACGGCGGGGGTGTCAGCATTTTGCCTGCTGTTCGTAAGGCGACCATCCCGAATGACAAAACAGTACAACATGCTCCTCGCGGCTAAATCTAGACCATGCGCGGCCACCCCGCGTTCACTGTCAAGTGGTTTTTGACAGGGACGGCGGGGGTGGTGGCGTATGGCCTGCTGTGCGCAGGCCCACCGGACACAATGATGGGCATTGCTATTCGACAAGGATGGGGGGGTCGACGTGTTTCCCGATGTGTGCTGTCACGTGCGCAAGCGCACCTGACACACTCTGCGCGTGCCCCGAACGTGGCGCACCTGGCGCGGCTGGAGTATGCGGCACACCTGGCGCACGCGGAGCACGTGCCGCATCTGGCGCACCAGGCGTGCCTGGCACGCTCGGGCCCCGGGCGTGCCTGGCGCGCGCTGCGCGCCTGGCATGCGTGGCGCACCTCGTCCCAGCGTCGAGCGAATTCGGTAGGTTCTGGTTCCCAATAACTGCCCATCCAAAGACGATCGCTGGGCATGCTGAGGCTCGGGTCCGTATTAAGAAACACCCCCTCCCCCAGGCGATTGGTAGCGAACCAGGAACCATGAGGGCACCCCCCCATCATCCATTGTGGAAAAAAAAACATACAAAACACACTCAGCCTCCAAATTCGGAGCATGCGCAGCCGACCTGATGCGGCCTTCCCTCACCACCCCTGACAAAAAAATGACTTTGCGGCGGCGGCGGCGGCTGCCGCAACTGCGGCGGTGGCGGCGGCTGCGGCGGTTGCGGCGGCGGCGGCGGCGTGGCGGCGGCGGCGGCGGCGACGACTGCGGCGGCGGCGGCAGCGGTGGCAGCGGCGGTGGCGGTGGCGGCAGCGGCTGCGGCGGCAGTGGCTGCGGCGGCGGCGGTTTGGCAGTGGGAACGGCGGCGGCGGGCGGCGGCGGCGGGCGGCGACGGCGGCGGCGGACGGCGGCGGCGGCGGCGACGGCGGCGGCGGCGGCGGTGGGCAGCGGCGGCGGCGGCGGCGGCGCGCCTGCAGCGGCGGCGGCGGCGGCGGCGGCGGCGGCAGCGGAGGCGGCGGCGGCGGCGGCGGCGGATTGGCCCCCAGTAGCTGCCCATCCAAAGACGACTGCTGAATATGCTGAGGCTTGGGCCAGACTCGGGTGCTACGTATGTGTTGGGAGGGCGGGTGGGAGTGAACGAGACGGCTTGCGGGCGGGGAGGGCGTCTTGACCTCTCCCCATACCCCCTCCGCCTGGACCTGGACGGAGCGCCCCGCGACCGATCGGAGCGTCCAAAATGGCCCATGATGGCTTCAACAGAGCCTCAGAGAGCCCAAAATGGCCTCCAAAACGGCTCAAAATGGCTCCAGATTGGTCAAGGTGGCAGTCGGAATGTTCAGGCTCCAAGCTCCAAGTGGCCCTGGAGCACCCCCAAGAGAGCCCCCAAGAAGCCAAAATCCTTCCAAAACCTAAGGGGCGACAGTGTGTTTTGTTTTCTCCCCAGGATGGCCCAAGAGGGCACCAAGAGAGGCCCAAGAGGGCCCCAAGACGGCCCTAAGAGCGCCCAAGAGCGTTCCGAGAGCGCTCCAAGAGGGCCCCAAGAGGCGGTTTTAGAGGCTCCAGAAGGGCGCCGGCAATTAAGGACCCCCCCTGGTTTGATCGATGGTCTACAAGATGGCTTCACGAGGGCCTCCAGGGCTCCTAAAGAGAGCCTCAAGAGGCCCTCAGGAGGTGCCTGAACCTCTCCAAGAGGTCTCAAGAGGCACCCCTCAACGACACCCAAGACGCCCCAAGGGGCCCCCGAGACCGCCAAGAGGCATCCAAGACGGCGTAAGAGGCCTCCAAGAAAGCCCCCAGGCATCCAAGGTGCCTCTGGCCTTCTGCTCGCACTCCTCCTGTTCCTGGTTCGCGTCTGCCTACTCCTTCCCCTCTATCTTCTCTCCCTATATCTCCTCTTCCTCCTCCTCCTCCTCCCCCTCCTCCTTCTCCTCCTCATCCTCCTGCCCCTCCTCCTCTTCCTCCTCCTCCTCCTCCTCCTCCTCCTCCTCCTTTCCTCCTCCTCCTCCTCCTCCCTCCTCCTCCTCCTCCTCCTCCTCCTCTATCCTCATCCTCTTCCTCCTCCTGCTCCTGCTCCTGCTCCTCCTCCTCCTCCTCCTCCTTTATCCTCATCCTCTTCCTCCTCCTGCCCTCCTCCTCCTCATCCATCCTCCTCCATCCTCCTCCTTATTCGATAGATCACTGCTGCCCCTTATCTTGTTCCTACACTTCCCTGGTCACCCCAACTTTCCTGGGCATCTTGTTGGATGGGCGGGTGGGATATTTTTTTGTTCGGCGGCCCGCAAGGAAAAGTCCAGAGGGCGTGTCAAAAGGCAATGGGGCGCAATGCCAGATAATTAGAGAAGGCCAGGCCACGACTGGAGGAAACCGCCAAGAGGGCGCCAACCCACGCACGTGCAACATGCAGAACAGGGCAGCAAGCCAGAGTGACCGACTGTCCTAACAACAGCCGACCAGACCAGCAAGAGCAGACACTGCTCAGGACGAATTCGGCAGGAAGAAGAGGCGAAGGCGGGTGGGGTACGCGAAGCGTCAACAGTTCTCCAAGGGCGTCGCCAACCCTTTCTGCACATATGGCGACTATGAATATGACCGCTCCATTCGCAATTGTTACGTAAACATATCTGAAATCCCCTTGAACACGTCGCCAAAAACGCCGAGAGAACCGTGAGATCTCGTCTGGTTTTGCGTTAACCTGCACTCCGCCGTGCCTCCCACGAGCCTAAGAAACTCGCAACAATTGCGCAATCCGCAGCCCTCCGAAGGAGACATGAGTTCTCGCCTGGACCCGCGTTGCCCTGCACTCCATACTACCTCCCAGGAGCCCACCAAAGTGGCGACGGTTGCACCAATTCGCAGACGCCCAGCAACGAGGTCTTGGCTGGGTGTGCTTACAACTGCAATCGGCTGGTCCTCCCGGGAGCCAACGAAACTCGCAACAATTGGGCTATCCGCAGCCCTCCGAAGGAGACGTGAGATCTCGCCTGGACCCACGTTGCCCTGTACTCCGCAATATCTCCCATGAGCCCACCAAAGTGGCGACGATTGCGCAGTTCGAAGCCACACAAGGAGCAGCGAGGTCTCGGCTGGATCTGCGTGTCCTCCGACTCCGCTGAACCTCCCAGGAGCCCACCCGATTGGCGACGATTGCGCAGCTCGCAGCCACCCAGGGAGCAGCGAGGTCTCGGCCGTATCTGCGTGCCCCCCTACTCCGCTGGGCCTCCAGGAGCCCACCCGAATGGCGACGACTCTGCACAATTCGCAGCCACCCCGGGAGCAGCGAATCTGGGCTGGATCTGCGTGTCCCCCGCCTCCGCTGGGCCTCCTAAGAACCCACCAAAGTGGCGACGGTTGCGCATTTCGCAGCCACACAAGGAGCAACGAGCCTCGGCTGGATCTGCGTGTCCCCCGACTCCGCTGGGCCTCCTAGGAGCCCACGAAAGTGGCGACAGCTGAGCATTTCGCAGCCACCCAGGGAACAGCGAGGTCTCGGCTGTATCTGCGTGTCCCCCCAAGAGTGGGCGGGATGTTGCGCGAGCGCTGCTCTACTCGTACGGGAACCCAACCAAGGGAGGGTTGTGACATTTACATGATGCCAAGAACCCATTGCAACACAATGATACGAAATCCACACGCGCTCGTCGTCGCACGCGCATGTAGAAATCCGTCGAAACCTGGGTGTCGTAAGGAATTCAAGGTTGAGGTTCCGCAAATTCCATAACTGCTCGCCCGCTCGTGCGAATTCTTCACGAAAGCGCATCGGTTTCAACGCTTTCCCCAAAAGACACCTCGTGGACCTCTCGCGCGTATGTCGAAATCAGTCGAACGCTCTTGCTCGCTTGCTGGCGGGCGCGATCCCCATAAAATAACGCCATGCGGGCCACTCGCGCGCGTCGGCCGCGCGCACATGTCGAATCCCCCCTAACACCTTCATCAACGACACGTGGATATCATCATCATCTTCATCGGCGTGACGAACATCGGCGCCGTCATTTTCCGTGCCGTCGTCATCGTCATTGTCGCCACCATCATCGCTATTATCATAATCGCTTACGACATTGCTGGCGTCACCATGATACCGCGCCCGCCCGAATCACCGACCCGCGCTGAAGTGCCCGCGCGGCAACGCTGCCTGTGAGACGCGCTGGGAAGTCCCCATCGGTCAACGCCACCGCGGGCGCGTCGGTTGCGCTAAAGTGGCTGGGCGTTCTGCGCGCGAGCTTGCGCGCGCTAGCGCGGCCGCGCAAATGCGCCAGCCAGCGCGAAGCAGTTATCGCATTCGCCGGCGCATGGGTTGTGCAAAATAGGTTGCGGGTGGGAGGGTGGGATGATTACGCGAGCAGTGGAATTGACAACCCCGAGTTCTTCAACACTAACTGTACCACATTGATTATCTCTTTTTTTACGAAGCACCAATCAGATTCTACCTCCTGGGAATATCCGTTCCCCTTTTTCGTGTTGCAACCTACATTTGATTCTGCCCCATCGGCCATCCTAATTGCGAATTGATACCGTCCCAGGCAGGCCGGTATCGACACCCCCCGTCATCCTCTTCGAAAAGATATAATGCGCGCGCATTCGTTTATCAAAAATAATTAGTTTTCAAAGGTTCCCGTGCAACAGAAGGGACAAAGTGCACACACGCGCGCGTCGTCGCGCGCGTATGCCGAAATCCCTCCAAAACCTCCGGTTTCGTAATGATGTCCAAATCGAGTGTCCAAAAAACATATAGAATACACATGGTTTCGCAACACGGGCTTTCACCAAAAATTGTGTTCGCGCACTTGCGAATTCATAAGAAAACCTCATTTTTCAAATGTTCATAAAATGCTACCAAAAGGGCTTCGCGCGCGTGCATGTCGAAATCGTTCGAACGCCCTTTGCGTGCGTGCTGTCGCAAGAACCCTTTTGCAAACAATGGGACGAAGTGCGCGCGCGCGTCGTCGCGCGCGCATGCCACAATCATTCGAACATCTTGGGTGTCGTCAGGATTTCGAAATCGAGTGTCCCGAAACCATATAAATTCGCCTGACGAAAGCCCAACCATATGCAGCTGCGAGTACCGCATTGTGGGTACCGCTTTCGATGGAGCTCCTTATGGGGCCACGACCCATGTGAGGGGCGTGCCGAATTGGGTGCGGTGGTGCCATGCGAGCCCTCCCACTGGAGCCTTCGGTGGAGTATCCTCTGGGGCCACGAACCGTGTGAGGGGGTGTGCCGAATTGGGCGCGGTGGTGCCATGCGAACCCTCCCACTGGAGCCTTCGGCGGAACTCCCTATGAGGTGCGCCGAAATGACGGTGGAACTGCATGCGAACCCTGCCATTGGGGCATTCGGTGGAGCTCCCTATGGGCCACCACAATGAAAATGGAACTGCGTGCAAACCCTGCCACTGAGTCCTTCGGTGGAGCTCCCTATGGGGCCACGAACGGTGTGAGGGGTGCGCCGAGATGAGGGTGGAACTGCATGCGAACCCTGCCGCTGGGGCTTTCGGTGGAGCTCCCTAGGGGGCCATAAACCGTGTGAGAAGGGCACCGAAATGGGGGCGCTACTGCATGCGAACCCTGCCTCTGGGGCATTTTGTGGAGCTCTCTAAGGGGACACGAACCGTGTGAGGGGTGCGCCGAAATGACGGCGGAACTGCATGCGAACCCTGCCTCTTGGGCATTCGGTGGAGCTCCCTATGGCGCCACGAACCGTGTGAGAGGGGGACCGGAGTGGTGGCGGAACTGCATGCCAATGGGGCATTCGATGGAGCTCCCTATGGGGCCGCGAACCGTGTGAGAGGGGCACCGGAATGAGGATGGAGCTGCATGCGAACCCTGCCACTGTGGCCTTCGGTGGAGCTCCCTATGGGGCCACGAACCGTGTGAGAGGTGCGCCGAAATGAAGGTGGAACTGCATGCGAACCCTGCCTCTGCGACCTTCGATGGTGCTCCCTATGGGGCCACGAACCGTGTGAGGGGTGCGCCGAAATGACGGTGGAGCTGCATGCGAGCCCTGCCACTGAGGCCTTCGGTGGAGCTCCCTAAGGGGCCACGAACGTCGAGATGAGGGCGGAACTGCATGCGAATCCTGCCACTGGGGCATTCGGTGGAGCCTCCTATGGGGCCACGAACCGTGTGAGGAGTGCGCCGAAATGAAGGTGAAACTGCATGCGAACCCTGCCGCTTGGGCCTTCAGTGGAGCTCCTTGTGGGGCCACGAATCTTGTGAAGGGTGCGCGGAAATGACGCTGGAACTGCATGTGAACCCTGCCACTGGGGCTTTCGGTGGAGCTCCCTATGGGGCCACGAACCGTGTGAGGACTGCGCCGAGATGAAGGTGCAACTGCATGCGAACCCTGCCTCTGGGGTCTTCGATGGAGCTCCCTATGGCGCCACGAACCGTACGAGGGGTGCGCCGAAATGAGGGTGGAACTGCATGCGAACCCTGCCACTAAAGCATTCGGTGGAGCTCCCGATGGGGTCACGAACCGTGTGAGGAGTGCGCCGACATGAAAGTGGAACTGCATGCGAACCCTGTCACTGGGGCCTTCGGTGGAGCCCCCTATGGGGCCGCGAACCGTGTGAGGGGTGCGCCGGAATGAAGGTGGAACTGCATGCGAACCCTGCCACTAAAGCATCCAGTGGTGCTCCCTATGGGGCCACGAACCGTGTGAGGGGCGCGCCGACATGGAAATGGAACTGCATGCTGCGAACCCTGCCCCCTATGGGGCCGCGAACCGCGTTGAGGGGTGCGCCGAAATGACGGTGGAACTGCATGCGGACCCTGCCGCTGGGGCCTTCGGTGGAGCTCCTTGTGGGGCCACGAAGCGTGTGAGGGGTGTGCCAAAGTGGGGCGGCGCCGCCATGCGGACTGCGCGGGAGGAGGGGGGGGGCAGCGGGAGGAGGAGTGACGCGGGGCGCTGTCTCTTCAAAACGAGGACCCAACGCCACACAATGGTTTGGAAAAATAGATGGCTTCGCAACATAAGTTTTCAAAAGAGCCTGCGCTCGCGCCCTTGCGAATTCGTGAAAAAGCATCAGTGGTTCAACAAGTTGTGGGATTATGCGAGACGGGCCTCTCGCGCCGCGTGCCGCAATCTCGCACGCCCTTGCGCGCGTGCTGGGGGGCACGATCCACATCAAATAACACCATGCGGGCCACTCTCGCGCGTCGGCCGCGCGCGCATGTTGATCTCCTTCAAAAACCTTCATCAGCGACGCGAGGACGCCGTCATCGTCGTCGGCGTGATCAGCATCGGCGCCGTCACTGGCCGTGCCGTCGTCGTTGTCAACATCGTCACCAGCATCGCTACGATCATCAACGTGTCTACCGTTGTCGACGTTGCCATGATGCCGCGCACGCCCAAGTCGCCGACCCGCAATGAAGTGCCCGCTGGGATGTGCCCACCGGTCAGCGCCACCGCGGCCGCGTCGGTCGCGCCAAACTAGCTGGCCGCTGCGCGCGCGTGCTTGGGTTGGCGCGGCCGCAGATCTGCACCAGCAAACGCCAAGCACTTATCGCAATCGCCACCGCATGGGTTTTGCATACCAAGTTGCGGGTGGGTGGGTGTGAGATTTGCACGAGCATGGAATGTGTCAACTCGTTTGTAAAAATCAATTGCACCACATACATTGCACAACACATACTGCTAGAAGCACACCATTGGGGGATCCCGCTGGTTAACATCTCACTTAGGTGTTGGGCCCGTTTGGCCTCCTGGAGAGGGGGATCTTAACGGGGCCCCCCCTTTATTTTATCCATAGCCTCCCAGATTGCGACGGCCCCCGAGGCTCCCAAGAGCGCCCCCAGAGGACCCCAAGAGGTGCCCACGAAGCCCCCAGAGGCTTCCAAGAGGTCCCCAAGAGGTTCCCAAGAGACCCCCAAGAGGCCCCAAGACGCTCCAAGAGGCCCCCGGGGCCGCCAAAAGGCCCCCAAGACAACCCAAGAGGACTCCAAGAAGCTCTCACGAGACAGTCGAAGAGACTCTGAGAGGCACAAACCTCTGGCCTTTCTGCACGCCCTCCTTCTCCTCCTCCTCCTCCTCCTCCTCATCATCATCATCACCATCATCACCATCACCATCACCATCATCACCATCATCATGATCATGATCATGATCATGATCATGATCATCATCATCATCATCAGCAGCATCATCATCATCATCATCATAATCATCATCATCATCATCATCATCATCATCATCATCATCATCATCATCATCATCATCATCATCATCGTCATCCTCATCCTCATCCTCATCCTCATCCTCATCCTCATCCTGCTCATTGTCCTCATCCTCCTCCTCCTCATCATCATCTGCCTATTCCTCCTCCACCCTCCTCCCTTCTCCCCCTCTCACTCTCCCTGCTCCTCCTCCTCCTCATCCGCTTCCTCCTCCATCCTCCCCCTCTTTGGGTACGACGTCGTACCCAGCCTTTTATTCCACTGCATGCTCCTCCACTTCCCTGATCAGGGCAGCTCGTCTGGGCATCATTTCTGGATGGGCTGGTGGGGTGACACGAAGCGTCTCGCATATCTTTTGATTCGGTCCTGAGACCTGGGAAGGGCCCAAGGAGACCGCAAACGAAGGAACAACCTCCAGGACCCCTTTCCTCCAGAGCCCCCTTTCTCCATGGCGAGCGTCCTCTTCTTCACGATCTTGCGCGCATCCGCAGGCGCCGCCATCCCGGGCGAAAGGGCGCCGCCCGCGCTGGCCTCCTGAGCACCGAAGCCAACCACGCCACAGCCCGCGCCGGCCGAACGAGCTCGGGCCGAGAATGCCTGCGGGCCTCAGCGCTGCGCACGTTCGCCATCGAAGTCTCCAGCGCCTGCACGGGTGCGGAGGGCGGCTCGTTCTCGAAACGCGGTCTCTCGCCGCGGCGATCCCGCACATGCGCCGCGAAAGTTACCAGCACGCCGCACGGACGGAGGACGGGTCTTCGTCGGAGGTGGTTCTCGCTTCACAGCCCCTCGCGTCCCATGGGCACACATCTCGGCAGTTCTAAGTGCTACAAGGATGGGGGGTGGTATGGTTTCAAACTGTGACCCTCGCTTGAGCCTTCCTCGCCGTCATGGGCATGGCACGGGAAAACTCTACTTCCGCAAACGCAGGGCGCCACCTTCTGAAACCCTGGTTCTTTGGTGAGGCTTCCTTTGGTGGTCCTGCAGCTTGGGATATCTAACACTTGTACGGCTGAGGGCAGATCCCTTTTGAAATCGTAAGCTCGCTCTGATGCCGCGTACATGTTTCCCTAAGCTTCTACCAGACTCGTTGCTATAGGGTGACGCCCTTTCAAACTCATGCCCCCGCAAGCTGGTCCTGCTCATTTTCCTCCCTCCACAATTCCTTGTCCTCCCTCCACCCCCATCTTATTCACGTCCTCTTCCTAGTCCTACTCCCTTCCCCCTTTCCACGAATGGCCAGAGGAGCAACATAAGGCGAGAACTCGACGACGACGAACGACCACGACCAACGACGACCGATGACTGACGACGGACAGGACGACAAAAACAAACAACGACGAAGAACGACGACCAACGAACGACGAACGACAAAAAACGGACGACGAACGACGACGATAACGGAGACGACGACGACGACGACGACGACGACGACGACGACGACGACGATGGCGGCGGCGGCGGTGGCAGATGGGTCCCTCGCTTGCGGCCCTGTCGTGGCCCGAGACACACGCGAAACCGCGTGGCGACCGCACGCATGCTGAGAGACTCCTTTTGGAGACCCCCCCTCCTCCTCCTCCTCCTCCTCCTCCTCCTCCTCCTCCTCCTCCTCCTCCTCCTCCTCTCCTCCTCCCTCTCCTCCTCCTCCCTCCCTCCTCCTCCTCCTCCTCCTCCTCCTCCTCCTCCTCCTCCTCCCTCCTCCTCCTCCTCCTCCTCCTCTCCTCCTCCTCCTCCTCCTCTCCTCTCCTCCCCTTCTCCTCCTCCCAGCCCCCCCTCCGCACACGTACTCTCTGCGTGTCCGGTTCCGGCGCCTCCTGCCCGACACCCCTCTGGCAAGTACGGGGCCTCTGACCCGCAAGCTGCAAGAGAAACCTGGAGCGGAGCCCCTAATTACCGGGAAAAATCAGGGGGACGTAAGACCTGGGTACAGGGGACTCGGAAATCACCGACGAGGTCGTCAAAAAAATGACGAGGCCGAGCCTGCATTTTGACGAGGCCTCCCGCTGCAGACATCCCACGAAACTCCTCCTCGTCAAAATCCGAGGCGCGGTCGTCAAAAAACGATGGCGAACCCGAGTCCTGGCAAACCCGGGTCTTACGCTCCCCCGAAAAAAAGAAGTGCATCGGCAGCGGGTGCCTGTGTGGTCAATGACTGGGGAGCCTGACCCGGGGAATGCTCGCGTCGTTGGCGCAGCGCGGCCCCTCGGGCATGGCCAAAACGTTCCAAAATGCGCCTTTCCTCTCATCTTCCTCTTCTCCCTTCTCCTCCTCATCCCCCCCCTCCCTCCTCCCCTCTCCCCCCCGCTGCCCCCCTTCTCCGCTCCGTGGAAGAGGGAGGCCCCTATCACTCGTGCCACTTTGGCTCTTGGCGACCCCGGCTCGCAGAGTCCTCCACAATTACTCAATATGAATACTACTCTCCCTCTTCCCCTGATGGCGCGCTGGGAGTGGCCGATCCCCCCCCCGCGTACTGTTTTTTACACACAGGATTCCCGGGAGTTGGGTTTTCGCCTGCGTTTCTTCCAAAATGCTGCTCTCGCTGAGGCGCCGGCCTCATTTCTGCTCCCGAATCGTTCCGAATCGTGCTCCCGCTGCAGCGTGGGTATCATTTTCGGATCGGTGTTTTGCCTTCGTCATTCAGGATGGCGTTCTCGCCCCAGCGCGGGCCTCTTTCTCGCGCGCCCATCCGCCCGCCGCCACCGCGCCGCACCACGCCCCGCCCTGCCGCGCGCACACCCACCGCCACTTCCACCCACCAGCGCACGCACGCACGCACGCGCACCACCACCGCGCACCGCAACCACCACCGCACTACCCCACCCACCACCACCACGCTACACCGCGTCACACCACATCACACGCGCGCACACACAGACACACACGCACGCACGCACGCACGCACGCACGCACGCACGCACGCACGCACGCACGCACGCACGCACGCACGCACACACACACACACACACACACACACACACACACACACACACACCACCACCGCCACCACCACCACCGCCATCACGCACGTACGCACCTGGCCCACCACCAAACCACCAAGACGCCACACCACGTCACACCACAGCACACGCGCACACGCACACACACACACACACACACACACATACACACCACCACCACCACCACAACAACCACAACCACGCACACACGCACGCACGCACGCGCACCACCACCCACTACGCGCACGCGCGCGGAGCCACAGGTCCGCTACGACACGCGTCCGCGGATAGAGAAAACAGCGCCATGGTAAGGGATGGGAGGGAGGGGTAGGATGTCAGATGTTGACGCGAGCGCACCTAACTTGTCCTCCCTTCTCCCCACTCACCCCCTGCTTGGCTCTGGGAAAATAAAAATCAAGAGGTTCTTATCACTCGGGCCACTTTGGCTCTTGGCGACCCCGGCTCGCAGAGTCCTCCTCCTCCCCCCACTCCCACCCCCCACCCCCCGCTTGGCTCTGGGAAAATGAGAATCAAGAGGTCCCTATCATTCGGGCCACTTTGGCTCTTGGCGACCCCGGCTCGCAGAGTCCTGCTCTTCTACGGCATGCCATGCCGTGCTCTACATTGCATCGCGTACCCTTTCGGGATCATTGCCCTGCTCGACATCCGACTGAGCGGGTAAAGAGGGGATCTGCGCCGTGGTAAGGGATGGGAGGGAGGGCTAGGATGTCAGATATGACGCGAGCGCACCTGGCTTGTCCTCCCCCCTCCCACCTCCCCCCCCTGCCTGGCTCTGGGAAAAGATCGGCGCACCGACTGCTGACATCCGCGCCTGCCCCCCCCCCCTGCCTCCCAGGCCGCTGCGGCCTCCGCCGGCCCGTCGCCGAGCGGGCAGGTCGACGACCGCCTCACCAGCGGCTGGGCCGCCGCGGGTACCTCCCGCGCCATCGTCGCCAGGGGTGGAGGAGCGGGTGGAAGGAAGAGCAGGGGGAGGGGGGGGAGGGGGAGGGGGAGGAGGAGGAGGAGGAGGAGGAGGAGGAGGAGGAGGAGGAGGAGGAGGAGGAGAAGGAGCAGGAGGAGGAGAGAGGAGGAGGAATGAGGAAGGAGGAAGGAGGATGAAGAAAACAATATCCAGGGGCAGCGACAGGAGGAGGAGGAGGAGGAGGAGGAGGAGGAGGAGGCGGAGAAGGAGGAGGAGGAGGAGGAGGCGCAGGAAGAGCAGGAGGAGGAGTAGGAGGAGGAGGAGGAGGAGGCCAAAGCAAGCCCAAGATGTGTCAATGACGTGGGGTACACCCTCCCGTCCCACGTCCTCGCCCCGACGGTCCCTGAAAGGCTCGTTTTTCTCACTGCGCGAGGCGCCTCCCTCGAAGGACGAGCGCCCCGAGGGCCCTCTTTTCGGGCTGCAGCTCCGTTCTGAAGGGGGAGTGCCTCCGCCCTTGAATTATGTTGTTCCCATTTTACTTAAAGATTACATCGCGGAACTAATTTCGAGCACCCGGAAAAGTGTCAAAAGAGTGCCGAAACAGTGTCGAAAGAGTGTCGGGCGAGTGTCTCCCGGGGCCCGACACGTGAAAAAACCCTGAGTTTTAATACTTTTCTGGGCGCTCGAAGTTCTTGCTGGTGATCAAGGCTGAAATTATGTTGCATCCTCGGGGGACCTTGTCTGTCCCGTCGCGGCCCTGTCCGCGTCGAATCCGTGTCGAATCCATATCGGACGCGTCGGATCCGTGTCGAATCCGTGTCGAATCCGCGTCGAATCCACGCCAAATCCGCGTCGAGTCCGCATCGAGCACGCGTCGGGCCCCCCAAAAGACACCAATTTTGGGGACAGGCGAGGTCCCCCGAAGATGCAACATAACTAAAGTAGGTTGGAGCATCATGACCCTTGAGCTACGAGGAACGTGGCAGGGCGGGATCCGAGCGCTCGAGAAGGCCTGCAGAGAGAGAACCCCATTGAAGGGGCCCCAGGACACACAAATAAATACACACAAATAAAACTATTCCCCATATTTTCCCATATTTTCTGGGTTTCTGTCTTCCCCCCCACTTCCCATATTTTCCCATATTTTCTGGGGAATCGAGGATTAATTGTGTCAGTGTGTTTCTTCCTCTCCTGACCCATGCTGAGAACTGCCCGCCCTCCATCCCCGTGCAGTGCGCTGCGCGGTTGCAAGTCGCCGGCACACAGAGAGTCGAACGACGTCTCGGTCGAGAGCACGATCTCGAACAGGAGCGCCCTCCATCCGTGCGCGCAGCTGCTAACCCTGTGGCATAACCCAATCCTATACGCGCGGAATGTTGTTTCGGGCGTCTCTGACAAGAGCACAACTGGCCATCGATCGGACGTCCATTCCCTGTGTTTTTTTCGGTTTCGTGCGTGGTTTTCTCGCCAAATGATCAAGGATGCTCCTCGACGGTCCTCGCCGGAAGAAACATGCACACGTCCGAGCGATACCAGGACAAGCATGACAAGGAGCTGCCATCGATCCGCACACACGGTGGAAAGTTTGCAACGAGCGAGCGCAGCGCCAGAGCGAGAGCCACCTTTTGAAGACTTCCCGCCCGCCGTCCGCGTCACCGATCGAGCCTCACATAAGAACGGGCGTGCGTGGTGCCAGGGCGAGAGCTTAGCTGTTCTTGAAAACGCTGGGGGCACTTTTTTTGTCGTCTTCAACTTTTCGTGTTGCGGTCGACCAAAGCAAAAAAAAAAACGGCAACCCCAAACAGAGAGAAAACGACACCCGCCGGCCCCAAAACCAAAAAAAACGGAAAGCCCGACTTTCAAAACCGCCCACTCTCCATCCATGTCATTGGACCAGATCGTAAACGCTGAAGGCGTCTCGGGCGAAACGCCCTGGCCCGCTCCAGCGACATGCCTGGTGGTGCTGAGAGATAAACTTACTTACAGAGGGATGGGAGAGGGAGGAGGATAATCAGGAGGGGCGAGGAGGAAAAGGACGAGGAGGAGGAGATGAAGGAGCAGCAACAGCAGGAGGAGAGGAGGGAGAAGGAAGAGGAGGAGCTCCCACTCAAGCAACCTATCGAAACGACCTCTTTTCTGTTCTAGACAAGCCTACTGATAGGCAAACACACATGTTGTGCTGGCATCGCCCAGGAGCGGAATGAACTCTCGACCAGATCGGTCTCCACCTCCCCCTCCTCCATGTCACTACCGCTCGATAATGGGTTTCGCTCTAACGCGCTGAGTGGGCCACTGGAGCCAGGTCACCGATCGTAGATCAGAACGTCGTCACTGGATTCGCTCTCAGAGCTTAGTCACCGATCGGGTTGATCTGCTTGGTGATGGCCGTGGGGCACTAGCGGGATGATCTGCTTGACGATGGCCGTGGGGCACTGGAACCTCATGGGGAGTTGGCAGCCCTTGTAGTCCGAGAAGGCTTACCTGCAGTGCGGGCTCTTGAACTGGCCATCCATATTGATCCCAACGTAATCGAGTGTGCCATTGCCCGACGCCGCCTCCTTTCTGATCTGCAGCGACTCGGCTGCTGCGGCGATGATGCCAGAGCGAAAGCACCAACCCTACGCCTTAAGTATTGAGCCTATCCTGAACCACTCCTCCTGAGCCAGAACAATGTGAGCCCAAATGGGTACAAGAGGAGCAGAACAAGTAGCAGCAGCAGCAGCAGCAGCAGCAGCAGCAGCAGCAGCAGGGCAGGGATTCGACGAAACCTGTGAGGAGGATGTGAACGAGGAGGAGGAGGAAGAAGAGGAGGAGGAAACGGAGGAGGAGAAGGAAGAGGAGGAGGATGAGGAGGAGAAGCAGGAGGAGAAGAAAAGACAAGAGAGGAGAGAAGGGCCCTGGCTGCGATGAGGCGCACGCGCCGGACTCCACGGATCTTCGCGGGCGTAGGCATCCCCAGCGGACACGCCGCCCCCGCAGGCAGAGATCGGGGAGACGTAAGACTCGGGTATGGGGGACTCGGGTTGGCCTGACAGGGCCATCATAAAAATGACGAGACCCAATCAGAAATTTGGCGCGAACTCCCGCTGCAAACATCCCACGAAAACTGGACCTTCAAAATCCAGGACGCGCTCGTCGAAAAACGTCGGCAAACCCGAGTTCCGGCTTACCCGAGTCTTACGTTTCCCCGAAGAGAGCACTCTCACGCGCCCCCCCCGATCTGGAGGCGGCGCTTGGCCATCTGCTTCTTGGTGAACTTCTTCGGCTTCGTCTCCTCGGCGGGAGCCTCCACCGACTCGTCCTTCTCCTCCAAGATCATCTCGATGTGGCACGGGTTCGACATGTACGGACCGATGCGTCCATGAGCCCGGTAGGTCTTGCGCCGGCCCTGCTGCGCGGGGTTCACCTGGATGTGCTTGACGAAGAGGTTGTCCGTGTCGAGGTTCTTGAAGTCGGCGTTGCTCTCCGCGTTCTGGAGCAGGCCCAGCAGGATCTTCGCGGACTTCACTGGCCACCGGCCCTGAGACATCTTGAACGCCTTCGCCTGGGGAGTGCGCCCGATGCAGCCGGTGTACTTCCTGAAGGGGACGCACTGCTTCTTCTCGCACACGTCCTGCAGGTACGACTGCGCGGCCTTCAGGTTCATGCCCTTGATCGCCTGGGCGGCCTCGTACGTGTTCTTGTAGTGGACGCGGAGGTCCACGCCCTTGGCCTTGCAGGCCTTGCTGGGGTTGGCCGCCTCCCTGGAGTACTTGCCCATCGCTCCCTGAAGCAGCGCGGTCTGTGCGCTCTACGACCGTGCCTTACAGCTTAGGCCAAAACGGCTACGGAAGGCAGCAAAGTCGCATTGGGGAGGAGGAGGAGGAGGAGGAGGAGGAGGAGGAGGAGGAGGAGGAGGAGGAGGAGGTGGTGAAGGATGAGGAGGAGGAGGAGGAGGAGGAGGAGGAGGAGGAGAGGGAGGAGGAGCAGGAGGAGGAGCAGGAGGAGGAGGAGGAGGAGGGGAGGAGGAGGAGGAGGAGGAGGAGCAGGAGTACTTGCCCATCGCCCCCCGAAGCCGCGCGGCGACCCTGCACGTTCCGACCGTGCCCTCGCGCCTCGGAACGAACCACCTGGAGCCCGGAAGGCGAAGTGCGGAGAAGGACGCAGGGCAAACGACATAACTAGGGGGCCACATGCGAACCCTACCCTTACCCCCCACGATTTCTGAGGGAGAGGATGGGGTTCACTTCGTTCGGGAGCTCCCGAGCGAAGTGAACCCCACCCTCCCCCTCAGAAATCGTGGGGGGTAGGGGTAGGGTTCGCATGTGGCCCCCTAATAACACGAACGCGAACGAACTGTCGTGCCATGCCGTGCCCGCAGGCCGTGCCGTGCGCGTCGTGCCCCAGCTCCTGAATGCGACCAACAAATGCTCCAACTCTTCCGAGCCCCGTGGCCCTCGATCTCGCCGAGGGGGAGGAGGAGGAGGAGGAGGAGGAGGAGGAGGAGGAGGAGGAGGAGGAGGAGGAGGAGGAGGAGGAGGAGGGCGAGGGGGGAGGAGGAGGAGGAGGAGGAGAGGAGGAGGAGGAGGAGGAGGAGGAGGAGGAGGAGAGGAGGAGGAAGAGGAGGAGGAGGAGAGAGAGGGGAAGGAGGAGGAGGAGGAGGAGGAGGAGGAGGAGGAGGAGGAGGAGGAGGAGCGAGGAGGAGGAGGAGGAGGACTGCCGTGCCGTGCCGTGCCGTGCCGTGCCCGTGCCCGCGGGCGTGACGTGCCGTGCGCGCGTCGCAAGCCCAGAGTGCCAACGAGCTGCCGCCCGCGCGCAGTGGCGCGTGCCGTGGCCGCGTGCCGTGCCGCGCGAGGTCGCGCCTTACCAGCCTCGAACGTATCCCTAGCCCTAAGATTGGCACGCCAGAAGGCGCTGACAACCTCAGGGATTCGCCCCCCAAAAGCAAGGGCATCCTTAAGATCGGCCTCGTGACGAGGAGGTGCCCAGCATAGGGATGGGGATATGTTCCAGGCTGGTACGCACCTGCGTCCTCGAATCCCAGACAAAGAAGCGCCGTACCGTACCATTGGGGGGCCACATGCGAACCCTACCCCTACCCCCCTACGATTTCTCAGGGGGAGGGCGGGGGGAGGGCTCGCATGTGGACCCCTAACCGTGCCGCGCCCGCCCGCCGTGCCGTGCGCGTCGTGCCCAAAGGCCCGAACGTGCGGACAAAGCGTGCCGTGCCGCGCCGTGCGGTGCAGCGCCAGCGCGTGCCGTGCGGAGCGAGCGCGCGGGCTCTGCCCGCGTGCCGTGCCCGTGCCCGTGCCAGATGCTCAGGCACCAAATGTTGCAGTCGGGGCGTTGACCTAAGGAACCCTACATAAGGAGCCCGCCGAAGGCCCCCCAAGAGACCGTCACGAGAGCTCAGGAGGCCCCATGGAGGCCTCCCGAGTTCTCCAAGAGGCCTAAAAAGAGGCGCCAAGAGGCCCCAAACGGCCCCAACGAGGCTCCAAGAGGCCACGAACGCGCAAGCAAACGCCTGCGATGGCACAATACGGGCCGGCGGAATGAGCGAAGCGATTCAATAAGGAACGAGGCCCCTATCTTCCATAAGTCAAACTTCGATTTCGTATCGAAAGCCTGAGGAACACCTGAGGCAAGCTGCGAAACACTCAAGGAACGCGGAGCCCCTCCCCAACGAAACGGGTTCCTTCTTCAGGGCCCCGACTGTATGTTTTCTCATGCAGCGTCGCTGCTTGGGGCCTCTGTGCCGCCTCTGTTCAACCTATTGGCCCCTATGCTGCAGCACCTTGCAACACGCACATTTCACGTGATCGGGTGGGGTGTAGAGACATACTCGAGAAGTCGTAAGAGACGTTCGTCTTGACAGGCCCGATCGTCTGCCTCGCACTGGTTCCTCCCGGAAGGTGTCCTCCGATGGAGGAGCCCCGCGCGGCCGCCATTGGGTTGGACCCCAGCGTTACTCCCTCCCCACCCCCTCCTCATCCGCCTGCGCCTCCGCGTCTCGGGCAGGCATGCCCTCGTCAGTAACGACGGGTCCCGCACCCAAACAACCTCGCAGGGGCCGAGCGCTTGCCCAGGAGCAGGAGTCACGACCCCCTAAGCTCCCTTACCTTGCCTTACCTCTGGGTCTGGCCACCAGAGAGACGCGGAGGCGCGGATGGAAGCCAGGCGCCGGGCGGCCCATTTCCGAAGGGCTGTGCGCTAGGCCGTGCTGGAGGGGGGGGGGGGGCTTTTCTAGTGCTACAAGGGGGCACGATTGGGGGGGAGTAGCCTTTCTCAGGCTGGCGATGAGCAGTCGCCGAATTCCAATATTCCTCTGTCCCCCTACGTCCTCGCTCCCCCCTCCCTCCTTCTCCTCCTCTTCCTCCTCCTCCTCCTCCTCCTTCTCCTCCTCCTCTCCTCCTCCTCTCCTCCCTCCCTCCCTCCTCCCTCCTCCCTCGCCTCCTCCCTCATCCATCCCTCCCTCCGTCCCTCCCTACCTCCCTCCCCCCCCCTCCCTCCCTCCCTCCCTGTCTCCCCCCCCCCCCCGTCCCTCCCTCCCCTTCCCGGAGGCCTCCCTCCCTCCCCCTCCCTCCCTCCTTCTTTCGCGTCTCAGCCCGGGAACAGCCCGACGGTCCTCTGCCCCCCCCAAACTCGCGATGGCCCCTGGCACTTGCGGTACGTTGTTCTGCCAGACGCGCGCGCCACTCCACGGAGGGTGGCGGAGGGAGGGGAAAGTAAGACCGACGTAAATTTGAAAGGCGTGGGAGACCAGGGCGTGGCCCAGGGGTCTGGGCCACCCAGCTCCCCCGTTCGGCGTTGGCGCGACCGCCAGAGGCAACGAGCGGGGAAGAAGGGGGGAAGAAGAGGGAGGAGAGATGAGACCGGCCCCGAGAGAACCAAGCACACCACGGCGCAGAGGGGGAGGGGGAGGGGGAGGAGGAGGAGGAGGAGGAGGAGGAGGAGGAGGAGGAGGAGGAGGAGGAGGAGGAGGAGGAGGAGGAGGAGGAGGAGGAGGTGGAGCAGGTGGAGGAGGAGCAGGAAAAGGGTCGGGAGGAGGAGGGCGAGGCATGACTCGGCCAAGGCGGGGAGGGCGCGGCGGCACGAGCGAAGTCAGGAGTTAGTGGGACAGGAGGTCAAGTCCCCGGGAAGGAAAGCAACGATGGGCCTAGCCTGTCGAACTAGACGAGGCAGCGACAGACCTGGGCACGGTAGCAGGATGCGCAGCTGGGGCGCGCGCGTGTGGGTACGACTCCGGGTGGTGCAGGAGCGCGGCACTTGCGCGCGAAGCCTTGCGAGAAAGGCTACACGCGCCGCCCTGGGACCGAAGGACCCACTGCCTCAATGACACTTGAACGCAGCATGGGCTTCATCGAGGGCTTACCCGATCGAGAGTAGCGAATCAATGCCAAACCTATGACCAGCATCAAATGATATAAACGGAGAGCTGCACAACTATCGCTACCCCACTCCGAAAGCAGAACAGGGAAGGCATTACAGAAATAAGGGAGAACATACATGGGAAGCCCATCTGATGTGGTATTTCGTCACCTCCTAAAGCAATTCATCCGAATCTGCAGCGTTGGTGACCCTGCCGGATACGGCGGGACGTAACCCGCGCGTTGGTCAAAATCTGCAGACCGTCGCGCAAGACCCGAGATTACGGCCGATCACGCAAACGCGAATGCTCGACAAATCTGCTCGGGCTGGCGAGGTAGGGATTCAGTCGTTTAGGCGAGCACTCGGAGACACAGAAGAGGGAGAGGTAAAGAGAAACAAGAACACCCACGTAAGTTGCTCTGAAGCCCAGGACACAAGTTCGACGGAACCGAGGGGATCGCAACCAAATGCGCATTCGACTTTGCCGAGCATATTGATGAGAGTGGATGACCGATGCGTAGGAGTAGACATGCAAAACACGGCAGACGCACGTGATCCAGACAACACCGGCGAAGTGAGGTCATGAAAGTGATCACGCAATCTCGAAATTTCCTGAAAGTGAAAAGCAGCGCGGCCCCTGGCGGCGCGGGCATGGTGCGCGAGAGAGCGGGCAGATCAGATCATCCCATGCAAGCTGAGGTGCCACAGCGAAGCACTGGCACGGGAGTGCCTGGGCGCCGCGGGCCGTTGCTGGATCGCCTCTCGCTCGAGAGACAAGCGCAGCTTACTCGTCGAGGCGAGAAAAACTGGGCGACGTGCTGCGCAGCGGCCTGGCAGCATACGTTACCAGCGAGTCCGAAGCAGAGGGGTTCGACGTGCCGGCAGCGTTTCAATAGAGCACGGATGGGGGGAGGCCTAGGTCCCCCCAAAAAACGCACACGAACCAACGACGCTAATATCGGGGAGACGTAAGACCCGGGTACGGGGGACTCGGAAATCCCCGACGAGGTCGTCGAAAAAATGACGAGGCCGAGCCTGCATTTTGACGAGGCCTCCCGCTGCAGACATCCCACAAAACTCCTCCTCGTCAAAATCCGAGTCGCGGACGTCAAAAAACGATGGCGAACCCGAGTCCCGGCAAACCCGGGTCTTACGCTCCCCCGATAATAAAACGTCGAGAGATTATTTGCCCAAGCGACAAATCTGAAGTTTCTGGAGAACGGAATTGTCGCCCCTGAGAGCCTGCCGGAAAGAGTCTGCCGCTCTCGCACAGTATGGCGCGCACTGGCACTGGACAATCTGCAGGAAGAGGTCAACAGCACAGCATGTGCCTTCGCTCAATGTGGCTCGCCATGCGTTTGCGAGCTGCAGCTCAATTGAAACTGGCAGCGCAGCGCCCATATCGTCTGCGCGTGCAGAATCGCGTTGCGCACGAGGAGGAGATAAGTCAGAACCAGGGGCCCAACCAAATCAATGCCCCGAGAGACTGGGAACTCCCCGACGATGGCGCCATGCACCTAACGCGCATGTGGACATTGGCAGACGAGCGCGCGAGGTTCTCGATGTGCCATGGGGAGATGTCCATTGAGCGATCTGCATCGAATACCCAGTCGCGGGAGATGCTCGGAAGGCTCGTTGTCCGTCAGCGCAGAGAGCCATCGCAAGGGCAGGGGCGTTCTCAACGCGCGTCGCGTTGCGCGCGTTGAGCGGCCGCCGGCAAAACGGCGCTGGCCAAGTTGGCGTTGGCCAGACCAACGTCAACAGCACGGTGCGCAACAAGACCGAGATGCGAGGCGAGCGCATTGCGAGTGACCCCGCAATCGCAGTTGCCCATTGCAACAAGACGCGCGTCTTCAGCGGCATGTGTGGGTCTCGTTTCCAGCGCGCACTTTGGCAAGGAGGCGAGATGGGCATCATTGCGCCCGCGTGGGCGACGAAAGAAACGGGTCTTACGCGCGACGACATAGCGACCTTGCGCCGCGGCTCGCGCGGGCCGCCGGCGCGGCGCGACGCGGTGGAAACGAGGGCGCTCGCGCGCGAGCTCGCGCGGGCAGTTTGGGCGCCAAAGCCGGCGACGACGACCCCGTTTCACCCGTCGCTCACTCGGGGCAGATTCAGCGCCGAGGCTGTGCAATTCATGCAGGGCGAGAGCACGCCTCGCAGCAGCGCCACACCCACCGCGAGCGCGGAGCCCCGTCGGACCCTGGATGGGGCGTCGTCGTGACGGCTGATGATGAAGGGGCCATGGGACACACCAATAAGTACACACAAATAAAAATATCCCCCATATGTTCGTATATATTTTATGGTTTTTTGCCTTCCCCCCCCCACTTCCCATATTTTCCCATATTTTTCTAGGGAATCCTCGATGAATTGTGTCTGTGTGTTTCGGTTCCCTCCTGAGATGAGGCAGGGAAGCTGCTCGAGTCCGAGGGGCCCATATTTTCTCCTGTTTTCTCACATTTTCTAAATTTTTGTCTCCCCCCCCACTTCCCATATTTTCCCATATTTTCCGGGGGGTCGACGGTTCATTGTGTCTGCGTGTTTTTGTCCCCTCCCGAGGCGAGGCAGGGAAGCTGCTCGGGGCCGAGGGGCCCAGGGCGCGGCGCGAGGGCCCCAGGGGCCGACGCAACGCGCGCGCCCTGGACGCGGGGGGGGGGGGGGGGGCAAAAGGGCCGGGGGGGGGGGCACTGGCCCAGTTGACTACCTACCAGACCACCCCAACCCAACCCGAAGACCCGAATTTCGGGTTGGGGGGGGTAAGGGTTCCACACGTGTTTTTTCGATGTTTCCCGACCCCCCCCCCACTGGAAATCGAGGGTAAATCTGAGCCTTCGGGTTGGGTTGGGGTGGTTTGGTGGGTGGTGACCAGTGGCCCTGCAGGACACCAGCAAGCTTTTCTCCAAGACGCCCAAGATGGCCTCCAAGAGGGCCCCAAAGCGCCCCAAGAGGGCCCCAGGCCAGTTCAGAGAGGCACCCAAGACGGCTCCCGACGGCGTCAGGCGTGCCAGGAACGCCGTAAGACGGCCAAAGAGGCCCCCGAGAAGTCCCAAAAAGGCCCCAAGAGGCCCTCAAGAGGCTCCAACATGGCCTCCAAGACGGTCCCAGACATCGGACATCGGCCTGCATCATGCATCGCGTGGGTGCCGCAGGGTGGGGCCGAAGCGCCCAACACCAACACAGGGGGGCTGCCTCCACAGGGGGGAAGACGATCCCAGATTTCGGTGCTGGTGGTAACACAGTTCGGCCACTTTGGAAGCCAGACCATTGCCACCACCACCGAGATCGGGATCTTCATCCCTCGGTGGAGGCACACCGCCGAAATTGGGCCACCTTGGGAGCCGGACCATTGCCACCATCACCGAGATCGGGATCTTCATCCCTCGGTGGAGGCACGCCGCCGAAGTTGGTGGCCCGCGAAGCTTGGCAGGGCCCGCGCGGGGAGAGAGCCCCCCGGGGCCCAGACTGCCCCGGCTATCACCGCGGCTCTGCAGCGGAGGGCGCGGGCGCGAAACACACGCCCGAGCTCTCAAGGAGTCCCGGAGTCCTATGGGACGCACATGGACATACTAATACTATATGTCCTCCTTGGAGGCGCGCGTCCGACCCGAATATGTAATATACCCATATCTTGTAGTACATCGTTTCCCGAGCGGTGTGGCCAGAAAGCGCCCGCCACGACGCATATACTATGAGATTTCTCGGTGCGCGCGTCGCCCCTGGGGGGCGACGCACATATAGTATAAGTATGTTGGGGTGTTGCCGACTCAAGGAGTCCCGGAGTCCTGGAACGCGGCGCAGGCGTAGCATCGGCCACGAGTTCCACCCGCTCTGCTTCTCGATCCGGGCGGCTGAGCTCACTCACGACTCTGCACGGAGAACATGTACCCCAAGGGTTGCAGGCCTCGTTTGCAAACTCCCGCAGCCGGGCACACCTGCGCACTGCCTGCTTCACCTTATCCATCGCCCTGCCGACGCCGGACACGATCGTATAAAGTGCGCCCAAAAGTTTGCATGGCCATTGGGCATGGCTTATTGGGGGGGTCACAAATGGGGGGGTCAGGAAAAGTCCCCTTTCGCGCCCCCTTCGGGCCCCTCCAGAGCCCCAGGGGGCTCGTTTAGGTACCGTTTGGGTACCTTTTCGAACCACCCTTGCCACCCCCCCAATTTGTAACCCCCCCATTACGCGGCGCCCAATTGGACGCCCGAGCTATCCGGGGTAACTCGGGTCCGGGGTAACTCGGGTTTGGGTTCCCGGAAAACGAACCCGAGTTAACCCTGACCCGAGTTACCCCTGATGATTCTGGGGCTCTGGACGCCCGAGTTATCCGGGGTAACTCGGGTCCGGGGTAACTCGGGTTCGGACTCCCGAAAAACGAACCCGAGTTATCCCTGACCCGAGTTACCCCTGATGACTCGGGGCTCTGACCCAAGGCCATCGCATGTCGAACTGGTCGGGCACGGGTGAGGTTCACGCCGCGCGAGCGAAGCTTCGCACGACGGGCTCCATCGCCTTGGCCGCCGCGTCTGGGCCGTCGGAGAGGCCGCGCTCGGCAGCCCGGGCGCCCCCGGCGTGGCAGGGGCCAAGAGGGCGGCACGCCCGGCGAGGAGTGGCAGCAGATGGCCTCGGGGCGCGCACCGGCAGCGCAGCGCACTCCAGACTTCGTGATCAAGGGAGGGGGGTCTCCTTTCGGGGGGGGGGGTCTCTTCCCGGCTATCTTGGAGGGCCTGGGGGGTCTGGGGACGATGTTTTGGAGGGTTCTCCCACGGGGGAGGTCTGAAATGGCTTGCCTTGGAGGGTCCAGACCCCCTCCCTTTTATTACGAAATCTGGAGTAGGCAGGGACGCGATGGCAAACGCCGCGCGTCTTAGCAGGCTGCCGCTCGACGCCAGCAGCCGACACGCAATGTCAACAACAAGGGAAGCAGTGCAGTTGTATGCAATCCAACCGCGCCGCGCTAGCCAGGATGGCGTGCCTGTGTGTGTGCATGATGTGCGGCCGTCCTGAACAAGCTCCGCGCAGCGGCAGAACAAGCGCCCAAGTTCTGTGGCGAGAGAGCAACTCGGAGTGCCATTAGGGGCGGGGGCAACACGCTGCCGCGCTTCTCCAAAGCTGGTAAATTCCAGACACCAGCGAAAAAGAAAATCGAATGGATGGGGCCCAGCGCGCGTGCAACTTTAGACGGCTGCTCATTTTTGCCAGCGATCAATTCTTCGGGATCGAGGCGGGGTGGGCGCAACATGAAAGAACCCTTGGTGCCTATCATTTCCCACGCAATACAGCAGCCAGATACCGCCGCCAGCGCGCTGGACCCACCCGCGCGCGTGCGAAGCCGCCCAAGCACGCAATTCACGACCGCAACAGGGGCCCCGGAGTCGCAAAAGCTCCCGATGAAACGATGACCGGAGAGAAGACGAGAGCGAGCGAGAGAGAGAGAGAGAGACTGAGTAGAAAGATCACCCAAGCGCCAAAGAGCCGGTCGGCTGCAAAAGAAAAAACATCGCATATCCCAACGAATCTCAGACACTTACGGACCGCGGTGCTCTGGTACCTGCGACCCCGAAATGCAGCGCCACGCACAATGGAAGCATTCCAAATGTAGATCGAGAAACAATGGGGGGACAGGAGAGCCATGGGAAGGCGGGCAGATGGCAAGAGCGCGCTGGAGCAACGCCCCCGCAAGAAGACCGAGCAAAACTGGACACCCCTTTATTCCGAAAGTGCATGTGTCAGTCCGTGTTCAGCATGTCGAGCACGGGCGCGATGCTCGCCGACGCGACGCCCCAGCACCCGCAGTCCGCTTCGACCCATCCCGCGCAGCCGTCATGACCGGTCTCGATGATGTCCCAGACGTCTTACTTGGTCACCCCTGTCATCGAGCAAGAGGAGCTAGAGCACGCAGGCGTGCGCTCAGCTGTCCACAGCCCGCCTTCGCGAGGGAGACAATAAACGGGAGTCCGCGCCGGACCTGGGCGACGTTGACACGCGCGGACGTCATGGGAGAAGACACCTCGGCAACGAAGGCGGGTGACCGCGCTGTGCCTCGGGCCAGTCCACGCAGTGCCTGACATTCCGAACTGGGTACTGACATCCTTCACCTGCTGCTCCGTAGCCCAGATTACCAAGAAGCCCTGCGACGATCTCTGAAAGCGAGGGGTGGCATCAGCCACTGGAAACGTAGAGGGGACACGAGCAGCAATGTCCTGCCGTGCAGCCTGCCCCGCGACGCCCAGCACCTGCCCCGGGCATGAGCTTATCAACTGACGGCGCGAATGGGAAATATCATTCATCTTCGCGCTGCCAGACTCAACCCACGAAGCTCCCATGACATCGTAAGGCCGAGAGGAAGGGGCACGAAAATCAACGCGTCTACGTATGGTGGAGTTGGAACCCTGAGAAATCAACCCAGCTGCTGTTCTGGTGCTGGTAGAAACTCGTGCTTGAGCTTGTTCGTCAACGCCATGTACTCGTTGCGCTGGTACTCCAACTTGGTGACTAGCGTACACATGGTCGTTTCCAGGCTATGGATCTTGGGTGCCTGGCCACTGAGCTTCTCAAGGGGGGGCCCAATCTCCTGGATGACCTTCATCATGTTCTCGTGATCCCGAAGATGTTTCGCCTGCATTGACAAGAGCAGCGCTTTCAGGGAGACCTACTCATCCTTTGCGCTGGCCGCCACGGCAAACGATGGGCACAACATGCGACCAGTGAAACAGCGCGACCAAGGGCTCCTGAGGCCTTGGCGGGCTCGCAGAAAGATCGCGCGCGCCAGCCAGCCTGCGACAGCCGCATAACGTTCTCAGGAGAGCTGCCCACTCAATCTCGGGCCTGCCCCGAGCCGTGGGCCAAAATGGAAGTGGAGGAGGAGGACGACGAGGAGGAGGACCAGTGTAAACCCAAGAGCCATCAACGATGTTAGAATAGACCCTCCCACCAAGCTCCCTCTTCATAGGCCCCTGCAACGCGTCATTTCCTTTGAGGGAACTGCCCCGTTGGAAGACAACCTTTCGAAGATCCTGAAGCATGCCAAAATAATGTTCTCGGGATTCTAACGCCACGGATCAACCTGACTGTTGCGTCCTGACAATCCTGAACCGTGCCAGATAGCCACTCCTGTAACTTCAGCACCGCGAGCGAACGTAACTGCTGCACCCTTATCATCACGAATCATTCCGAAACACGATTTCTTCTACGCTGATCAGGGGAATCCGAGAAACGCTTGCAAATTGGGAAAAATATGCGCGGCGCTAAAGCGAGAGCCACATTTTGAAAAGGAACCGCCTTCGATCCGTGAGACTCTTGCAAATGTTGCAAACGGGCGCACGCTGCGCTAATGTGGGAGCCACATGTTGGAAACGATTCGCCCTCAACCCGTGAAGCCCTTGCAAAGTTTGAAAACGAATGTGCGCGGCGCTCAAGCGAGTTTTACATGTTGAAAACGACCCGCCCTCCATCTGTTAAACTGTTGTCTTTTTTAAAGCGTCAGGGTCATACATGGTGAGGAAGTCTCAAGCGAAACACCCGGCCCGCCCTAAAAAGTGGCCTCGGGGTGCGACAGGGAGAAGTTATTTATAAGGACAAGGAATGGAGGAGGAGAAGGAAGAAGAAAGGTAGGGCGACTTCAGCGCGCTTTGGCCAGCGACAGCCAGCCAGGGCTGGGGCCGCGGCCCAGCGGCGGCAACCAGCATGGCCGCCGTGCCGCGGGCCGCTTCCGCGACCAAGCGACGGCGCGCGTCGGCCGCGGTCTGTGCTCGGCGCGCAAGAAGCCCTGCAGTTTTGCGCCCGTGCGGCCGCCCGCTGCCAGGAAGGCGGCGCAGAGCCCTGGCCCTGTGTAGTGGGCGTGTTTCTCGCGTTCCCGTTCCCGTTCCCGTTCCCGCGCTGCGGCGCCTGCCGCCGCGACCCTCTGGCCCCTGTCAGGGCCTGCAGGCGCCTGGATTTCGGCTACACTGAAGGGGCCCCAGAACACACAAATCAATACACACAAATAAAAAGATTCCCCATACTTTCCTATATTTTCTGGGTTTTTGTCTTCCCCCCCACTTCCCATATTTCCCCATATTTTCCGGGGAATCGAGGATCAATTGTGTCTGTGTGTTTTTCCCATCCTGCTACATTCGCAACGCAGCACGCCCATCCGCCTGGGCACGCCAACGCCACGTCGAGGACGGCATGTCGGATGCCCTCGTCCGCGCGCCGTCCCCAAGTGGGCGCGCGCTGCTCCAGCGAGTTTTTTACGTCTTGAAAACGACCCGCCCTCCATCTGTGAAGCTGCTGTCTCTTTTTTTTAAGCGCCAGGGTCATACATGGGGAGGAAGTCTCGAGCGAAACGCCCGGCCCGCCCTCGCCCGCGCGCCGGCCCCAAGTGGGGACGCGCTGCTCGAGGCTGGCCGTTAGGGGGCCACTTGCGAATCCCCATAAATAGACACAAATAAAGGATTCCCCATAGGCATACAAATAAAAGGATTCCCCATGTTTTCCCATATTCTCTGGGTTGTTGTCTCCCCCCGCACTTCCCATAGTTTCCCACATCTTCCTGGGGATCGACGATTCATTGTGTCTGTGTATTTTTTCCCCTCCTGATCTGTGGCAGATGCTTATCTCGACGAGCTCGACACACCCGTGGCACGATTTCCACAGGTTCGTCTGTGGAGGCGTTTCGTCGACGACGGCCTGACGATGGCAAGGGGAACATAAAAACTCGGAGGTCCGCGCAGATTTCTCGGATCGGCGCTGGGACCCCCCGGCGGCGCCTCCAGCGCCGCCCCTGGCGCGCTCCGCGCGCAAGGGAGGGGGGTCCAGCGCCGATCCGAAAAATTCGCGCGGACCTCCGAGCTTTTATGTTTATGCCACTTTTTGTTCCCCTAATGGCGCCCCCGCACACGGCAATCGAAGCCCACAGGATGGTATTGCAGCAGCTCCGCAGGAGCATCCAGTGGGAGAGCCCAAAATCCGACGGACATGGC